CTAAATGATTTCATTGTTGCTTGCCAGCTCTGGAGGAATCGGCAATTCTTAAGCGCCATGAGCTACAGATTTGAATTTTTTTCTTGAATATGCTTGAGGAAAGTGTCTTAAAKATGTGCWAATTTTTTTTSGTTTGMTTTTCCAGAAAATTTTAGAGAGTTTTTCGAATCGATTTTGCGACGAAATCAGAGTTGGTTATCTGCGCTAAARAAAAGTGCTGTAGTTTTCTAAATTTCATTGGCTTCAGGTTTCATTTTTTCGGTTTAGATGCTTCMARAAAGTCTGTTAGTTATGTGAAAATTTCGTTTGCTTCGCCAGGAAATTTTAGAAAATTTTTAAAATCGACTTTACTACGAAAGCAAAGTGTAAAGTTTRTCATCGGCTCTGCAGGAAACAGTTTCAGTCATGTAGTTTCGAAACTTCCTGAGTTAGAATTTTCMGTTTTTTTCTTGGGGTCCTTCARACAAGGGTCTTAATTATGTGCAAATTTAGTTTCGTTAGCTTCACCATGAAATTTTAGAGAGTTTTTCTAAATTGGCTTTGCAAGGAAATCATTGTTTCTTGTCAGCTCTGGAGGAGTGTGCTGTAATTTCTAAACGCCATCAACTACAGGTTTGATTTTTTTTTCTGTATATGCCTTAACAAACGGTCTTAATTATGTGCGAATTTTGTTAGATTTATTTTGCGGGGAAATTTTGGAGATTTTTGAGAAGAAAAATCGTTTTTACGACGAAATCAGTTGGTTATTTGCCCTGAAAAAAGTGCTGTAGCTGATAAACGTCGTTGACTACAGGTATGAACTTCCTTCTTTAGATGCTTCAAGAAATAATTTTAAATATCTATAAATTTGGTTTCGTTTTCTAGGAAATTTTTGAAATTTTTTGAAATGGATTTCTCTACGAAATCAAAGCTGTTATTTGCTCTGAAGGAAAGTGCTGTAGTTCCTAGACTCCTGGAGCTACAGGATTTAAATTTTTTCTTTAGATGCCTTAGGAAAGTGTCTCAATTATCTGTAATTCACAATTTTGCGTCGTCCTGACTAAGAAATGTTAGGCAATTTTTCAAAATCGTTGTTTATCAGCTCTGGGGGAAAGTGCTGTAGTTTGGCTTTAGCTACAGGTTTGGACTTTCTACTTAGGTTCACCACGAAAGTGTCTTGAACATCTGGAAGTTTTGTTTCGTTTGCCCTGCTAGTAAATTTTTCAGAGACCTTTTTTAAATCGATTTTACTACGACATCAACGTTGATTATCTGCTCTGAACCAAATTGCTGTAGCTCTTGAACACTTTAAGCTACAGATTGGAGCCTTTTTCTTTGGGTGCTTTGGGAAAGTGTCTTAGTTACACTCAAATTTTGTGTAGGTTGTCTTATCTAAGAATTTTTACGAAATTTTCCAAAATCGACTTTACAAAGAAGTCACTGTTGTTTGTCAGCTCTGGAAGGAAACGTTGTAATTCCTAAACGCCTTAAGCTATTGTTGCTAAGTGCACCAGGAAAGTGTCTTAAACATGTGGAAGTTTTGTTTCGTTTGCCTAGCCAGGAAATTTTTGAGAATAAAAAAAATTGATTTTACGACGAAATCAAAGTTGGTTATCTGCTCTAAAGGAGTACTGTAGCTCCTTAGCGAGATAAGCTACAGATATCAGTTTTTTTTTATTAGATGCTCCAGAAAGTGCCGCAATTATGTGAAAATTTCATTTCGCTTGCTTTGCCAGAAACATTTTTTAAATAAAAAATAATTGATTGTGCGGCGAAATCAAAGTTAGTTATTTGCTCTAAGGGAAAGTGCGATTGCCCCTAAATCCCTAGAGCTGAAGAATGCAACTATTACATTTAGATGCTCCAGAACAGGGTCTCAATTATTTGCAAAACTTTGATTAATTATCCTTAGCAGGAAATTTGAGATCATTTTTCTAAATGAACGCTGCAAAGAAATCACTGCTATTTGGCAACTCTGGAGAAAAGTGCTGTGAAAAGTGCTCTAAAGGCCTTGAGTTTCAACTTTCTCTTACAGGTTTCAACTTTCTCCTTTTTAGGTACTTCAGTTAAATGCCTCAATTGTGTGCAAATTTAGTTTCGTTGTCTTCGCCTGGTAATTTATGAGATTTCAATTGGAAAAAATCCAAATTGCTTGGTGGTCTGATGTGATGGAAAATTGAAATTCTATAATTTAGAGGAAAATATACAGAATGCTCTAGTTGAAAAAGCGCTTATTTTTAAAACGGCAATTTATTCAGCATTCGTTATAAGGAAACTCTCATAAAACATTTTTCTTTGTCTAATTGTCTCTTTTAACTAAGAAAATATAGTCGTTAGTTAAAAATTGACAATTTTTCGACTTGAACTGAGTTTGAAATGTTGCAAGAAAAATACGGGATACAAGCAAAAGACCAAAAGAATTGATTTCACTCTGGAGGGTGTAGAGTTTGGGGTCAAAAAACAATAGCTAATCACTTGGGGTAACTTTAATGGATTTCGGCTGTAATTCGGTATAGAAATCAATAAATAAATAAAACGTAAACAACGTTAGAAACACAAATAGGCAATCTGTTAAATAATGTAATGGGTTCGAGTCGACTATTCGATGTTTCCAAGTTTCAAGGCGCGCACATTAACCTTTTAAAACTTCGAACTCGTGGATTTGCTAAAGTAAGACTCAATTAGGTTCGGGCAACCTTTTTGAACAATGAAGTTGCGAAAAGTGCATCGGAAAGGTGAAACCGGCCAATTAGTTTCGGTTTATTTAATCGAAAACTATAGAAAAATCGCCGACAAATGCAAAAGTTTGCTTTAATTGCCATATAAAGCAGCGAGAACATCGTGTCCACGAGTCCACGTTAAGACGACAGCGGTGCTGATATAAAGCTGAAAGTTATGAGACGTTTTGTAATTTATTTTGGTCAGTTTACGACGATTTTACAGGACAATTTCCCGTAATTAGAACAAAAGCACCACCTTAAATGGTTTATGGTGTATGGTTCTTTTATGGGACGTAGCTGTAAAAGCGAAGTAAACGAATAAAATGCCGTTTAAATTAATGAAAGACACTGGTTTAATGGGCCGAAGCAACGAAACAAGACCGACGACTATTTATTTATTGAATTCTATGGGGGGAATTTTCGCTCAGTTTTATGGAAAATGCGCCAAAATGTCATGGCTTTTGGTACAGCTTCTTTTATTGGATTGAGGGCTGGTGATCGATTGGCTCTATAAAAGGGCCCCAAAATTTAGTTTAGTTTCTATCTCAACGCAGTTGAAGAAGCTGAATAATGGTAGCCGCAAAAGATCCAAAAGTAAGAACTATTTTGATAGATAGCAGTAAATGTTGGAAGAATCTGTAGTTGGGTTTGTCAATTTATCGAACTTTGCATGTTGATTTGTGGTGTTTTCGTGTTCCATTACCGATTAAATTGTAAGTTTTTTGGAAAAACCTGCGCTCTTCGAGAGCTTCAGAGTGTGTTCAATTTAGGGCAAAGAACGCGACGAAAGTTGAGGTCCAAAAGGGTCAACCTGACTAGAAGGACTTCGTCAAAAGTGTTTTCGTTTGGTGAAAATTGAGTCAACAGCCCCACTGATTGTGGATTGGAACTGTTGATCAATTTTCCCATTCTTCAAGCGGAAATCGGGCGACTTTACGCAATGATGGTTAATTGAGAGTGCGGCATATTTCATGCTATTGTACATTGAACAAATCCCCGCAAAGTCGAGGTGATAAACGGAACAATTCGCTAGAAATTGGTTTTCTAATTAATGACCCCCCATTCCGATCTCTAGCCTTTAGTGCCGCATTAAGCTTATGATCTATACAAGGCTAGGAAGGCATGTAAATTTGAGTTACACAGTCCTATGTAAATTTGTCCGCGTTCTTATGTAAATGACTTGAAAAACCAATTTACATCCATAATTTGTCGCGCCGAGCTGATAGTGTTTATCGCAAAAATAATTGATTTCTATGAGACTGGAAGGGGGATGAGGCGGCTGTTAATTGTCAGCTGGAAAGCCGCCGGAGGCTTAACATTACAACACTGTCAAGTGATTACACTGGCTTTACTCCAGCAGGTTCGTCTGCTTAAGGTTGGGCGCAAACGCCTTGAAGGTACATTAGAGCCGACAGGGTGTCGCAGGATTGAGCAAAAATAGAGCCGAACAAGCCGAAAGTGTCCAAAGGTGACGACAACTTCACCCCCAAAACTGCCTGCAAAGCGCATTACAATTAGTAATTGCTTGCTCAACTTCGTTAAAGTATTGAATTGTGTCTTGGCTTGATCGTTATGTATTCGTGAAGGGTTTTCAGATGTGTTCCAGACATTTATGAGCGCGTGATTCACTTAGAAGGTGTAAAGTGTGAGCAGAGGGACGGTTTGAAGTGATTTAAAATTCTGTCTCTTCTTCTTCTGCTGTTTTTTCGCATAAAAGTCGCATATTATGATACAGAGAATCCATCAAACTTCAAGCTAAAAGATTTATGGATTAGAGATCATT